GGCCAATTGGAAAGCTAGATCCATTCTCTTCCTAGTCGAGGAGAACCAACCGAAGAAAGTAGAAACGTCACCTCTGTGTCTTCAGGGACAATATCTTTAAAACTCTTGGCTTACTCTCTCCTTCGTCGTTTCCAGTTAGGCAGTGGCAGAAACACTGTACTTACATGGTGGGCGACCAATCTAATGACCAAATCTTGCTTTCCTAAGTGGTGGTGAGTGTGGATCTTCTCAGTTGAGCCAAAGTCCGTTTACTTCAAGATCCATGTCAGGAAATTGTAGACAGAAGCCTTTGACTTCCGCTGGTATTGAACACGGACGGTCTGTTTTAGGTGTGCTATCTCACAAATATTAACATAAATTCTAACATTTATTTTTGAGTAGAAACTATTACTTAAGTAGGTTTTTAATATTGATTATTAAGCAGCATAATCTCACGAAACATTAGGTATGCCAGGATGCTTGCTTTTGAACGGGCTCCTTTTCGACCACCTGAAAAAGCTACCCTCTGTACAAATTAGTTACTCAAGTAGTATGTATTTTTCCTCATCGATTTCGGATACCCTTACCTCTAATGAGGATCTTCAGTTTCTTGTAAAGCGTGAAATAATAGGTAAAGCGGGCACGGTCCTTGATCTAGTCGCTAATCTGCAGTAGAGGTGGCGACTTGAGGAAACGTAGCCAGACCGGACTGGGATCGGCAGACCCTGGTTCCGTGCGTGCAAGCAGTCGCGGGAGTTGAAAGGTTGAACGTTGTAGGGTCACTACAGGTTTACCACCTTCGCGTAGTTGAATGTCACTCGCAGGGTAAACACCATAAGTGTCACCCATGGAGGGAGGCAACTTCCGTATCTTTGTTTGCTTTTATTCTAGGCATCACAGATTGTGTTAACTTGGCGCAATCAGTCCCAGCCTCACTGTTGTCCTTCTGACTTTGTACAGATTGCTGATCTGCAAAATCAGCTGACCGCTCTGCAGGTTGAGCAGGTCTCCTCCGTTGAGACTCGTCGCGTTATGGAGGCTGACCTGCAGGAAAAGAATTTGGCCCTCCAGACTGCAGAGGGCCGGATTGGTCGCCTGCAGGTGCAACTGCAAGAGGCCGGCAAGGCCGCTGTCACGGAAATTCGAGATCGTCTTCTTAAGTCGGCCTGTTCCAGGGCTCTCGAGGACATTCGTTCTGTGTCAGCTCTTTTAGAGCTCCCCGAGTTCCTGCAATCCAGAAGCTGCCCCGGTTTGTACCTCCTCTTCTGCTCTGCTATTGGCTGGTTGGCGCTGCTATAGCGTGATATTTACCTTCATTTTGATGCCTTCTTCAGTTTTATTGTGTAGTGGCACCCAGTGAAGAAGCGCAGTCACGATATCTTCGCCGACGTGGTCTCTTAGTAGAGGAAAACTTGTTGCCGTAATTGCAATGGGTCGATGACGTTAACGAACAGGAAGGCCCGTGGGCATAATGTGCTGGCATGGCGGTGCAAATGAACGATTTTCCAGTCCGTTTGAACAGTAGGGAAGCGAATTCTTCCATTCTGGTGATTTGAACAGAGGACTTCATTGTTATTTGAAGCTCTGTGAACTCCGGAGCTAGTTG